GCACTACGTCGTTTGCGCCGCATAACTTGCACACCATATCGCATTTCGCAGTTTGCGCCCCATATGTCGGACCATTGACATCGTGCAACAGAGCTTGCACCTCATAACCTACACCACGTAGGTGAGCATTTTAGCTCCACATAGCTTGCACCACGTAGCTGGCTCCGCATGCGTTGCATTGAATGTGTTGCACCGCTTGAATCGCCGCGCGCCCCATCAATTCTTTTTCCAGAGAGAATATTAGGGTCTATCCCCCAGGGGTAAGCGGTGCATTCGTTCGTATTGCAATTCGCACATGGTTTTGCCCCATCGTCCATCCTAAATGCAAAATCGTACCATTCCAGGTAGGCCGGAGTTCGCATTCCCCCCTCATCTTCTGCAACATATACTACGCGAGCGCATTAGTTTAGTATCAAGCAGTCATCAGTTTTTCAGGAATCCTTTGCAACAGATGGGGCAAAGTGCGCACGCGCACGTCGTCGGGCGCGCATGCCGGAATCGTTCAAAACCCTCGATCCCGTAAATGTCTCAAAGTCGAGTGTCCCGGCAACGTATAAAGAACAAGTGAATTCGCAACACAGGTTTTCAAAACAAAAAGTCTGTGCCCGTGTTCTTATTCTTACGTAAGGAAGCCATATGTTGTTTCAACCTTTTTGTAAACAAGGCCACCCAACGGGCCTCTCGTGCGCGCGTGTCGAAATCGCTCGAACGGCCTTGCGCGCGTGCTGTCGCAAAAGTCCCTTGCAACAGGCATGACGAAACACACGCGCGCGTGCCCGCGCATGCCGAAATCCTTCAACAACCTGGGGGTTCGTAAGGATAGAAACAGCGAGTGTTCCGAATACATGCCAAAACGTATGGTTTTGCAACGTCAGTTTTCACAAAAGCTTGCGTGCTTGGGCGAATTCTTTACGAAAATCATGTTTTTTTCCAGCATTGCCATATTGCCAAGCGGGCCTCTCGCGCCGCATGCCGAACTCATCCGAAGGCGCTTGTGCGCGTGATTGGGGGGCACGATCCGTGCCAAACAACCCGAGGAAGCAATTACAGAACCCCCCCCCCCTTCCAGCGAATCGATAACCGTCCCGCACCCTGGAAGCGTCATTCTGGCACCTGTGGCTAGGAGGAGGAGGAGGAGGAGGAGGAGGAAGAGGAGGAGGAGGAGGAGGAGACGGCGATAGCGACGGCGACGGCGACGGCAACGGGGACCAGGCGGATTGGCCGACTCGCCTAAGTCATCCTCACATTTCTTAATAGAATTGGCCAAATCGCCTGGGACATCTTCGCATGTCTTAATAGAATTGGCAAAATCGCTTCAGACATCCTAGCTTTTCCTTCGCTTTTCTCTGCTTTTCCTTAAGCTTCTCAGCTTTTCCTTAGCTTTTCAGCAGTTGTCATAGCTTTTCTTTAGTATGCTTAGCTTTTCGTAGCTTTTCCTTAGCTTTTCTCAGCTTTTCCTTAGCTTGTCTTTACTTGTCCTTAGCTTGTCTCAGCTTTTCCGTAGTTTTTCCTTAGCTTGTCTCAGTTTGTCCTTAGTTTGTCTCAGCTTTTCCGTAGCTTTTCTGAGCTTTTCCTTAGTTTTTTCTAAGTTTGTTCATTTGTTTTTCCATAGCTTTTCTCATCTTGTCTCAGCTGTTCCTTAGCTTTTCTTTTGTTTTTTTTCAGTTGTTCCTTAGCTTTTTTCTCAGCTGTTCCTTAGCCTGTCTCAGTTTTTCCTTAGCTTGTCTTAGCTTTTCCTTAGCTTTTCGAAGTGTTTCCTTAACTTGTTCAAGCTTTTCCTAGCTTTTCTCAGCTTTTCCTTAGCTTTTCTAAGTTTTTCCGTAGCCTTTCCTTGGTTTGTCTCAGCTTCTCTTTAGGTTTGTTCAGTTTTTCCTTAGCTTTTCAGCAGCTGTCTTAGCTTGTCTTTAGTGTTCTTAGCTTGTCGTCGCTTTTCCTTAGCTTTTCCCAGCGTTTCCTTAGCTTTTCTTTAATTGCCCCTAGCTGTTCTCAGTTGTTCCTTAGTTTTCCTTTGCTTTTCTCAGCTTTTCCTTAGCTTCTCTCATCTTGTCCGTAGCTTGTCTGAGCTTTTCCTTAGCGTTTCTATTTTGTGCTTTCGCTTTTCTTTTGCTGTTCTCAGCTTTTCCCAGCTGTCCCTTAGCTTTTCTTTTGTTTGTCTTAGCTTTCCCTTTGCTGTTCTCAGCTTTTCCTTAGCTGTTCTCAGCTTTTCCTCAGCTTTTCTCAGCTTTTCCTTAGCTTTTCTCAGTTTGTCCTTAGCTTTTCTCAGTTTGTCCTTAGCTTTTCCTAGCTTGTCCTTAGCTTTTCCTAGCTTGTCCTTAGCTTTCTTAGCTTTTCCTTAGCTTGTCCTTAGCTTGTGTCAGCTTTTCCTTAGTTTTTCCTTCGCTTTTCTCAGCTCAGGCGTCCTCACAGGTCACTCACAGACAAGGCTCCCGCTTGAAACTTCCTCCATTAAAGCGACCGTGCCTACGGAGGACGGAATAAATTTGACGGTGCGGGTGTTAAGATAACGCCACGGTGCGGAGGGGCGGCGATACCCTGGGGTGGAGCACCCCCTACGACGGCCGGATTTGTTTTTCCCTCCCAATAGGGGTCGTAAGACAAATCGTATAGATGATGAAAACATGATAAAAAGGAAAGGATAAGAATACGAACCCTCCTTCGCTTTTCCTTCGCTTTCTCAGCTGTTCCTTAGTTTGTCTCAGCTTTCCCTTAGCTTTTCTCAGATTGTCCTTAGCTTTTCTCAGTTGTTCCTTAGTTGTTGCCCCAGCATTCCTTAGTTTTTTTCAGCTTTTCCTTAGCTTTGTCTCAGCTTTTCGAAGCTCTTCCTTAGATTGTCCCAGTTCTTCCTTAAGTTTGTCAGTTTTTTTCCTTCGCTTGTCTCAGCTTTTCCTCAGCTTTTCTCAGCTGTTCCTTAGCTTTCAGATTTTTCTTAGCTTTCCCTTGGCTCTCTCAGTTTTCCCTTGGTTTTCTTAGCTTTTTTTATTAGTTTTCTGTTGTTTTTTTTCAGATGTTTTTTAATTCCTCGGGGAAGGGGACGGCAGGGAGGGGAGGGCGAGCTTAGCCTGTCAGGCAGATGTTGTGCTGAGTTGTTCTCAGCAATCTTCAGGCCGCAGTTCAGAGATTCAGCGCCTCAGCGCAATATTTCTGGCCGCAGTTCCCGCAGGTCTCAAGCTGAGGACTCGCTCAGCTCACTTCAGGCTGGAGTTCTGGTCGCCTGTCCAGGCCGCTTCGAAACCATCGCCGTCATCAGCATCATCATCGTCAGCACGGTAGCAGTAACAGTTACGGTGTCATCAGTACCTGTAACACTCGCCTTATTCTTATTATTGTTCTTATTCGTATTCTTCTTATTATTCGCATTCTTATTCTTATTAGAATTCCAATTGGGATGCCATCCGAGGCGGGGCGCAGGAATTTGCTCGGTGCTAATTATATCGTTCGGCGAACCCCCCCCCCGCCCCCGAATAATTATTTTATTACGGTGCGGTCCTAACGATGACGCCGGGGGGGGTTCTTGATTGCTTCTCTGGGTTAAAACCACGCGGGCCACTCGCGCGCGTCGGCCGCGCGCGCATGTCGAGCTGCTTCCAAACCTTTGATCGCCGACGCGAGGGCGTCGTCATCGTTATCGGCTGTCGTGATCGACATTTGCGCTGCCTTGCCGTCGTCATCGCCACCATCGCCACCGTCATCGCTACTTTGAGAGTCGTGTCTACCGCTGCCGGCGTCGCCATGATACCGCGCCCGCCCACGTCACCGTCTCGCAGTGACGTTCCCGCCGGAAGTGCCCAGCGGTCAGCGCCGCCGCGGCCGCGTCGCTCGCGCCGCAGTGGTTGGTCTCTGCGCGCGCGAGCATGCGCATGTTAGCGCGGTCGCAGGGATGCACCAGCCAACTCGAAGCACTCATCGCAATCGCCGCCGCATGGGTTGTGCAAACCAAATTGCGGGTTGGTGGGTGTGGTGTTTGCGCGATCAGTGGAGTTGTTAACTTCAAGTTCGGCTGGACGAATTTCTCTCCATAGCTTGCTCCACATGTATTACACCAAGGCTATTATACCACTGCGTTTACACCACACATAGTGCACCACCTGTATTGCCGCGCGTAGTATGCTAGAACACATTGTTTGGGTTCCCCGTTGTTTAGCATGTGTGCAGGTATGCATATACGTACATTTGTTTATGTGTATACAGATCTGCACGTTGTGAGTTAAGCGCGGTCTGGTGTAAGCTATGTGGTGCAGGTTTTGTGGTGCAACTTACGTGGTGCACGTTACGCGATCCAAGTCAAGTGGTGCACGACACGTGTTACAGGCTACGTTGAGCGGCCACGGGGCGGCCCCAACAAAAGCTCCCGGGTTCCCCGCACAATTCCTCATCACAACAAGGGATACGATTCAAGTGCAGCCAATGTTGGCTGATTGTGTGGCAGCGCTGGAGCTTGCACCGCAATCACCCAATCTGTCCCCGCGACTACTAGAAAATGTTTCCCTGTGCCCTCGCCATCGGGATCAGGGCGGTGCAGCTGCAGCGCGTGACCGAAACCTTTTGCCGATGTCTTTCAATGCCGTCATCGCGTCCCCCTCACATTGTAGGAGCACTGTTGCAGTAGCGGTGCTTCTGCGATTCGGAGTGCGGTGCGGCTGCGCACCTAGATTTGGAGTAAGAGTCAGAGACGGAATGCGGTGGACTTGGCATTCACCTTTCGAGTGTTCGTTGGGGTCTGATCTATAGCTGAGCTATGGCGCGTGCTTGCTCGCGGGAGGAGGTTATTCGCCCATTTTCGGAGACCAGAACGCGTTGCTGCGTCGTGTCCTACGTTGATGTTATCTTGGGGTGCTGCGTTTCCTAGCTTGTTAGGCCCATCGTGGTTTGATGCTGCTCATCTTTCTCATGGCTCCATCCCTCCCTCTCCCCCTCAGATTCCTCCCTTGCTCCTCCCCCCCGTTCCCTCGTGCTTTCCCCTTCCCCCGCACTGCCCTCCTCCAGCCGCCTCTGCCAGTGAGGCCGCCCGTCAATTTCCACGCCTCGCTCTCTCAGTCCGATTGCGCAGTCGCCGTGGCCAGCCCGCGCTACCCGGTGGGCAGGGACAAAACCTTCAAAACATGGGGGTAGGGGAAAGTGGAGGACAATGAGAAAAAGAGGGTGGGCAGGAGGAACCGTAGGAACGAGAATGAAGAAAATGGGGAGGGGGAGGGGGAGGAGGAGGAGAAGGAGGAGGAGGAGGAGGAGGAGAAGGGGGAGGAGGAGGAGGAGGAGGAGGAGGAGGAGGAGGAGGAGGAGGAGGAGTGACGGGGAACAGCAAGAGCAGGATGAGGTATGGGCCGGGCCCCAACGGCAGCCGCATTGAACATTGGGCAGCAATCACGGCGGACAAGGATGCGGCCGACCAGGCGGCGGCACTGGCAGTCAGGTTCCTTGCCGCGGATTGCCCGACTTACCTTTTACAGGTGAATTTTGAGGCACGGCGAATCACTCTGCGGAAGCCCCAAGGTATGATTTGCTTGGTAGCCAGTGAGCCGGGCTTGCGACTTACGACGTATGGACGGGATAGTTACTTGCTATGTACTCTGCGACCTGCTGAACTGCGCGACGGCTGCGTGCCTTTGCAGTTTGCGGTGGGGCGGCTGGTGGACTCGAAACAATGCGCAAAGCCATCGTGGTGTTCACAGTGAAGGTACCCGCCAGCGTGATCATGGCGTTCGACGCCGCCGAACCTTCCTTTGAGGTGACCGGGGAGAACCTGTTCGAGGGCGATGCCGCCCGCGCGCCGAGGCCGTGAGGCCCTGCCGCAAGTTGGCTCTGCCAAACCCATTGCGCACCTCCAGTGGGGCGCAGGCAGCCGTGATCAGGGGGCGTGAACCACGCGCGGCGTGGACCAATGCCTCCCTGGCCGCTCGTGCTGACCAGTTCACGGTGCTCTTACCAGCCTCGGTCGCCGAGAGCGTGGTTCGACATGGTGGTCGATGGCTCCACGACTGTTGGATTCAACCTCAGTGAGAGCAAGGGGCCTGGTCACACGACTCGGCGACACCACTGTCCGCACGACTCGCGTCAGGAAACCCACTTTGAGCTGCTTGGCGCCTCCGCCCGTTGGGTGGGCTGCGAACACCCGCTCTCGCGCCTCGCTGTG